ACCAAATACAGAATCATAGAATGGTTTGAGGTGGAAGGGACTCTTAAAGGCCATCTGGTCCCATGTCCCTGCACTGAACAGGGACACCCATAGCTCCATCAAGTGTCAGAGCCCCATCCAGCCTGACCTTGGGTTTCTCCCATCACCTCTCTGCACAGCCTGTGCCAGTGCCTCACTGCCCTTTTTTTGCTGAGAAGTGGGGAAAAATAAATAAATATAAATATAAAAATAATAAATACTTGGTCATTGGAGACATGACTCAAAGAGTGAGTCTTGCTTACCCCACATGAAAAGCTCTGCTGCTGCATGGTAGTCTCAGGAAGAAAGAGGGATCCCACAGAGCAGTGTGCTGGCAGGGAAGTCCCCCTGGCCCAACTTGGTGTCACAGAGTGCTTAGAATGAATGGTGACTTTGTGCACAGCAAGCTGGGAGGATTTATGAGCTGCCCAATGGGGGCCCTAAATTAAAGCAGTGCTAGGGAATGAGGAGGTTGTGACTTCAGAGCCAGTGTCTTGGGGAAAAGGACAGGGCTTGCACAGAGAAACCAGGCAAAGACATGTGGAGACAGCAAAACAGGACTAATTCCTGCCAGGATACCAGAAGAAATGCAATGAATCCGTTGGATAGCCCTTCCTCTCCTGCCACATCTCTTCCTGCAGCCAAACACTGCCTAACTGGAGCATCTTCCAGGAGAAGGAACTTAAAGTCATATTTTTTAAAATCAGAATTTTATGGTTTGGATTTCCATTTTGCAGTAAATCAATTAGCATCTTAGACAACAGTCCATAGAACGAGAGCTCAGCAGTCAACAAATAAATGCATTTCTCCTTCTCTCTTTTCCTTTGTGACCAATAGAACTCACTATACGTTATAGGTGCATTATACAGGTCTGCGCCAATCCCTTTTTTTTTTTTTTACTTCTTGATTTCACAAAGGTATTTCTGTTCTGATTTGGCCTTATTCTGTGCCCGGGAAGCCTTCCTCACGTATCTCAGCCCTGCTGCCAGGAGCAGCTATCGCAGGGCTCCAGCAGAGGGGGAGAGAGGACCGCTGGTGCCTCCATCACAGCAATCAATGAGAAACAGAAGAAATACAGTATTATCAAGCCCTGTGTTCACTTTCTTTTCTGGGACAGGATGAAATGCAGCTCCAGTGAGGCCAACATATGTGCCTGTGGGGCTAATTCTCAAGTTCTGTGTCAAGCTCACCTATAACAGTCAAGAAAGTGAATTTAAATGTATTCTCGTGTTCCAGGGTTTTTATCCACCCAAGTTACACAGTTGTCTCCAATCCCACAAACACTTCAGTGCATGCTTCTTTTTAAGTGCTGTAAGTCAAAGACTTGTCCCTGTGTTTAAGGCCTTTCGTGCTGGCTGCTCCAGACCCTCTGAGAGCCATGAGTGCTGGCAATGGGGCTACAATGGCCATCTGGTCCTTAAAAGGACCATTCCTACACATATCACAGCCATTGGGTCAGTAACTGGGATGCCTGTTCCACCAGCACACAGTGACACAGAGCACTGGTGGCCTCTCTCAAAGAACTGCCTCACCACCAGTCCAAAGTCAGTGTGAAACGGCAGGGCTTGCAAGGGCAGAGCTCCAATCCCAGGGCCCAATCTCTTGATCTCATCTTACTGAACATCTCTGTAACCTCTGCACCTTGCAATAATCTCTGTATTAAAAATAAACAAATAAACAAACAAAATGACCTTGACTTCAGAAGAAAAGCTGCTTCACACTCATGCCTAGGGAACCATGAAAGCAAACAGCACGTGGCAGATGAAAGCCACATCTCCTAAAGCATGACAGTGGGGAACTGAGTACAGCATCATGGGCACAGTGTGCAGAAAAGGACAGAATCATAGAACTGAGTTGCAAGGACCCTTAAAGGCCATCTAGTTCAACTGCCCTGCACTGAACAGGGACACCCACAGCTCCATCAGTTGCTCAGAGCCCATCCAGCCTGAGCAACTGGGTGTCTCCAGGGATGGGGCACCCACCACAATATAGAGCAGGACTCTATCATTAGATGGTCACCAACCCTATTTGAACTTACAGTATTGCATGAATAATGCCCTACAAAAAATAGAATATTAGCATAGAAAAGGTTAATGCTTCTGAGTATCTGTCTCCCACTCAGCAGATCTGAGTGGGCACCTTTCAAATGAGAACATTCTGTGTATGGATATACTAAAACTAAAATGTTGCATATTAGAAGGCTAAATCACTGAACAACAAAATTCTTGTAACATAACTGCCTCAGAGCCAGACTCATGCAAACAGACACACCACCAGAAGCGCTGCTCAGATGCTGTTTAGCAGATCAATGCATTTTGCAGGCAGAAATTAACTCCCCTTGCTGCAGTTAATACACTGAAGTGGATCAAAGTCCTGTGCTGCGTTTGGCAATGAAATGATGTGTTCCTGCATCCTGGGTGTGGGATGTGAGGCAGCATGTCCAGCTACATACTGGGCTCATGTGACCCTGATTTTTCTTGCATGAGGATTTTAAATGAGGATTTTAAATGAGGAGTTGCTTGTCTTCCGAGGAGATGTTGGTAGCGGAGTGCTTCTGCAGCAACAGGAATGGCCATGAAGTGCCTGATGCCACGCTCACCCTGCCTTTGACTCCCCTTGCAGTGCTGCAGGTCCCAGCCTGCTGCCAGCCTCCATTTCCCATCCTCCAGAATATGATGGAGCAGCTATCAGCAGCACCTCCAGCACTGCAAGCCAGAGGTTTCAAGTGTTAATCCAGGCTCAGAGACAGGAATCCAACATGCATTATATACAAGCTGAATTCATAATGTTATAAATGGAACTATAATCTCTCTCTCTCTCTCTATATATATATATATAGTTTTCAGAACACAACACCTTTGAGATTGGTTCTTTAATTCCACCTCTAATGTGGACTGCATTGTTTGCAGCTCAGATCTCTCCAGTGCCTCCCCTCCAACGACCTCACTCACCAGTGAGGAATTGTTGCTGTGCCTGCTTGCACAAAGCAGCCTGGCATTTTATCTGGGAGACAGTCCACAAATAACTTTATATATATATGGCCTATTTCTGGTGCCAGTATCAGAAAAGATATAACGCTCCAACAGCCCTGCTGGGTGCTGGGGAGGAGTTTGATAGTGCAAGTCAGCCCACTGTATTGAAGGATGGCAGAAATTTGGAAGGAAGACAGATCGGACCAATGCCAGGATGGATAATGATGCACAGAGTGGACAGTGGGGTCCAACCCCACCTGACCTTTGTAAGCACTGCTAAAACCTTGCCCTGTCCTGCTGTCCAAGTGACACAAAAGCATGCAATGTAGAACAAGGAGACAATAGTGGGGCACACCTCAGCCAGTTGTAATCCCCTGCCTTTCTCCCAGCAAAAGCAATTTAGGTTTGATATAAAGACTAAAACTTTACTCGAGTTCTTCTTGTGTAGGCAGAGAAAGGACAAAGAATTTCTGAACTCATCAGAAGCACATTAGCAGGTAAGGATTACATTAACATACTCTTGAAGGTCACAAAAAGGCAATTCACATTTCAGTTGACTACACAGTTTACCCATGTGCTACATTTCTTCTTGTTTAGTGAAGACAAGCCCCAGGACCATTCTGAGCTCTAATTATATTAAAATAACACGGTAAGAGGTCCTTTTATTTTGATGATTTACAATGCCAGCTATTGAAATGTGCTTTGCAATTAATTTGGGAAATACACAGAGTGACACTTCTCTCCCAGCCTTCTGTGGGCAGAAGACAATTCACTGTCTGCTTAATAGCTATAATAGCTCAAGACCAGATTCTCCTACAATAATTACACTTTCTCTCAAATTTATTGAAGTTAAAGCTTGCAATCATCTGTTGGGACACTTCATTTATGCATGAAGTACCTCAGCCTACTTTAGCAAAAGAAAAGCAGGGAGATATGGGTGCTTGTTCAAACACTAAAGCCTCCATAGAAAACTTTAATTTTTATTAATATCTAATAATGTTACAGATTTCTTGTGAATTTTTTGTGCCTGCCTAGTCAGTCCTCAGAGGATAATTTTAAAAGCTATGTGCAACCTTGAGACAACAGGTATGGGGCAACTTGGGCTACAGCATGGCCAAGAGGCCTTCCAATGGCTATTTTTAATTTCTTCTGACACATAAAAGCCAAATATTCTTCTCTTATGACAGTGGGAGAGGATCTTATCTTATGGGAGAGGATATATTTCAGATTTAGGGAACATCTCTCTTGTCCCAAATCACTTTAAAAAAAATTTAGGCTCTTGTGCTGCAGTGCCTGTATAAGAACATCCAAAAGCTGTTCTGATCCAGGTGGATAGTGACAGGACAAGGGGGAATGGTTTTAAACTGAGGCAGGGGAGGTTTAGGTTGGATATTAGGAGGATGTTTTTCACCTAGAGGGTGGCGAGGCACTGGAACAGGTTGCCCAAGGAGGCTGTGGATGCCCCATCCCTGGACGCATTCAAGGCCAGGCTGGATGTGGCTCTGGGCAGCCTGGTCTGCTGGTTGGTGACCCTGCACATAGCAGGGGGGATTTAAACTGAGAAGAATCTTTATGCTCCTTCTTAACCCAGGCCATTCTATGATTCTATGATAACTCCCCATCAGCTTTGGACATGAGATGATACATTATGGGGATGACAATAGGCAAAAGCTCTATAGACAATGGTGTATCCAAATATATATGCTACTGATAACATAATTCTGAATTAACCTTCAATTCCCCGTGCTGGAAAACCTCTCCCTGGGCAGAGTAGATGAACCAAACCTGGAAATGAGTTTCCTCCTTCAAGTGAACTGAAGGGCATGGACTGAACAGCAAACACTGCTGCCCCAGTAGGGCTTTGCTGGCTGTCATGTGGAAACAGTCAGACAGTTCTCTATATTACCTTATCGTAAAATTAGGTATTTCCAAAAGGGGAAAGGCCCCTGGGATATGTTCCAATTCTCTGCAATTTGGTCAGTGTCATTGTCAATGATTTACCAACATATTTCAGAGCTCGATGGGCTCCAGGCTTTTTCCGGCAGCACCAGCCCCACAGACTCCTGAAGCCTCAAGAATTTGCTTGCAGCTAATTTAAAGCAAACATTTACATATGGAAAAACAATGTGGTGGAGCCTGTGCCAGGTTTCTCCCTTGATTCTCACTATATGCTCGCTGTCTATAACAGCACGTTGGGCCACGGCTGCAGCATGCGGGGAGCCGGCGGCGGTGCCTGCCCAGAGGTAAGCTTGCTTCCATCCAGCTTTGCATACAGGAATTAGGGGCCAGTCAGTCAGCCCATCAATTCTGCCCCGACTTGAGGCATGTGCACACTGCTCTCTCTGTAAACAGCTACCAGGAAAAGAAAAAAATATATATACGTATTGGCTGCTTTCCAAGCATGAGCTCAGCATCGCAATTCCTTCTTATGTGTACTGTCTGCACAATGGTTTTTCTTTCACACATGACAATTAAGCCTTCTTTAAACTTTCTTACTGAAGTCGCCGTATCATTTTTATTCCCTTTTTTTTTTTTTTTTTTTAAACAGGAAAGTTTACAAGGCAATATTTTTCATAACTTTCCTCACAGTAATTATTTTGCATCTGACCCGATTCCAATCCAAGCCAGATTCCTGTTCCTCTATTTTTACCTCTGAACAATAATTAACCTATAGGAACGTCACTTAGGCTTTGAAGGAAGAGAGTAAACAAGTTACTTTTCCTAAAGCTACAGTGTTATGATGGCAGAACTATTTTTTTTTTCTCTACAGCTATTAATTTCAGGCTTGTTCTAAAGGCAAATATGATTTAGAAGGATCAAAAAGGGTATCAGTGATAATTGGAACGTGGAGACAAGAAGGCAGAAAGGAAAGAAAATCATGGTAGTGATACAATTAATTATGAAGGCTTATTCTGATAATCCTTCCTGAAAATGAACAAAGACGAGATTTTTGATGTTTGATGAACTTATCAAACAAGGCAGAATAATGAAGAGGTAAATGTAAAATCCGATCGAAGGTGAACCAATTAAGCACTTGGTGAAGTGCTGAAGGACACAGCCCACAAATCCTCCTGACAGAGCCAGAAGGCATCCACAGCAGCACCATCGCCAGCACAGGGTCTTTCTTGCAGACTCCCTGTTCTCCTTAGGACACAGCAGGTTTGATCCCTCCCATCACCCATCATCCCTAACCCTAACCATGGTGCCAATTTAGTGGGCTCACTGATTAATCTCCAAAGTGCTCCCAGCTCCACTAATTATCAGTGTTTCTCTTTGGGCTGCAGTCTCGTAAGTGAAACAGACTGCTCATTAGTTAATCACTAACATCACGATAATAATGTTTTGACTCAGAATAACCCCTCAAAATGCTTTGAAGGCTGCAGCAAACTCAGAGTCACATCATTACACCAGGGATTTCTTCTCAAGACAAAGAAACACATTATAAAAACAAAGGTTGTAGGATTTGAGGCGGAAACACAGAGATCATAAAGACTGGGCTGGGTGGCAAGGCAAATATTTTCTTGCTGTTGTATATAGCACTATTCAGTGTATGCTCAGAGACTATGATCCAAAGACTATTGTGATGCATTACTTCTGCCATTTCCCATTTTTATATCTTCCTATAATTTCCCCCTCCTCCACATACAGAAGGTGTGCATTTCCTTTTAGAAATCATCAGCCAACAAATCCTCATGGTTAAAACAGCTTTGTGCCTTGCCAACCAGTGCCACTGGTGCAGCCATTCCCACGACCACACACAGCATCTGAGCCTGAGGTCAAACCTGTTTGCCAAAATACTGACTATAGGTTCAGAACTGTGTTAAAGAGAAGTGAAATAAATAGATTTCAAACCAAGGTGGCAAGAATAACTATTCCCAGATTTTGTGATGTGCTCCTCAGGAAAAAGCCTATTGGAAAGGGTTGGTTGCCTTCTCTCAGGAAGGAAGCTGGCACTGACTGCCTTCTCACTTCATACAAAATAAGTTCCTATTGGAAGAACACACAGATCTTATTCATAAAGCTCATCTTCAAAGCCCTCAGAACACTGCCTCTCCCTCTCTTTAGAAGAAGCATCAGAGATGCAAATTCTCCAGCTCCTGTCAACTGTCAGCTGAGCCAGTGGTCGGAATGGACTGATTGCTTCCCTTGCCAAGGGAGAAAAGTAAGGCTCCACTGTAATGTATGCATTTATCTTCTGATGCGCACATATTGAGGATGTACACACATTAATTATACATATGATACATATTCATCATCCTGAGGCATCTGTAAACTCACCCAAACATGATGGAGGTGCTCCTCTCATAGAGAGGCTCTTGCTTCGGTATAAACTGGCAATAAATTTAAGGCAGAAGAACTGCAGAACACCAAATCAAAGCAAAAGGTGGAAGAACCAGGCCAGAATATTTGGCCAAAACTTTCTCCCTTTTCAGTTTCAGAATTAATTATGGATCCCCTGGTTCTTAATGAAAATATTCTAACGAGAAGAAATTCAAAGCAGCCTTCATTCATCAGTTCCTGTTCTCAAATTCTGATATCATTCCAGACACCTTCATAATTCAAGTCTTCATTTTCAAATACCTGACATAATTTTGCTTTCTAATGAGTTCATATCCCTGTATTTTTGTTCCCGTGCTTTTAATCTGGAAATGATTTGGCTCTTCTCGCCCCCCCCCCCCCCTCCAGGTTTAAAAGCAGCAATCCTCATTAATAACCCATTAGAAACATCTCACGATCAGTGCTGTAATTTGTATCTACGTTCATCTGAGGGAAACAAATTACATGTTTCTCTCTTGTGCAGCACCGGCACCGGACGCTGCTGCAGCCAGCAATGTTTGGAGGGCAGCGCTGCGAGGGGCCCCTCTGGGATGAGCAAAGCTGCAGTGCTGGGAAGAGCTGTGCCAGAGCTCCAAGCTGTGGGAATGACTTCCAGTGCAAGGAGAGCGGTGAGTGAATTGGACTCAGACTCCAGCCAAAGGTTTTAGGTGGGCAGAGCAGAAGTCCATCCACGTTACGTTTCAACTACGAACAGCATTGCCCATTAACCATATCTCTCAGTGTCACATCCCCACAGTTCTTGAACACCTCTAGGGATAGTGACTCCACCACCTCCTTGGGCAGCCTGTGCCAGTGCCTGATCACTCTTTCAGAGAAGTTTTTCCTTTTACCCAACCTGAACCTCCCAGGGCACAGCTTAAAGCCATTCCCTCTCATCCAGCTCTCAGCTAAAGCAGGTCAGCATTGCTTCATCCACAGCACCGTTTCTCTCCATGACTGCCACATCAAGGCTTTCTCCTCACCCCCAAAACAAAAGCTCTTTCAAGCCGCAGCTCCTGCAAACATTCATTCTTAAACTATAATCATTGCTATAAGCTCCTGATGGAAGAGTGCAGTGTTTACCACACAGCATGGCTTCTTGTGGCACTCAAATATACCTACCAAATACCAAAGCAAATGCAAAAAGGGTTCCTGAAGGTGGAAAAACAATTCTCTATGCACTCCAGGTCGCTGTATTAAACGGCATCTTGTGTGCAATGGCAATACAGACTGCAGAGATGGGTCTGATGAGAATGACTGCGAAGATGAAGATGCTGAACGCCCCTGTGGCAATCTGTTCCCCATCCCAGGGTCTGAAAAAGCAGCACGAGGGTGAGTAATTAATCAATAGCTGCAACTTCAGCAATCAAAACAGGGCTGTTTATATTGCCTGTCCTTAATAAGAGCAGTGCTCCATGGACTGATACCATGCTATGAAAAACCCAAGGGGGAGTACCAGCCCTCTGTTACCATGGGTAGCAGTGTGAAGGCTGGAGGGTTCAGCACAAGTTTTCTTTCCAGTTCTTCTCAGGTTTACTACCAGAGCTTGCCTCAACCACCCTGAAGCCACACTTCTTTACTACTCTCGGGGTCCAGTTAACTTACAGCTTTCACCAGTTCATAAGAGCAAATACTAAAGGAAACAGTAGATATTGGAAATGCAGCATCCTGCAGAGACTTCCATCTGTAGAGAGAATATCTGACTCCAGGATTTAGGACTTCGAAGCACAGAGTCAGAGTAGAGAGCCTGAGCACCAGATGATGACAAGCTGGAGAAAGTACTTGTATGCATGAAAAGGTTTTATTCTATTATGTTTTTTCTTTCTTTTTTTTTTTTGGTTACAGAATATGAAGGAAAAAAAAAATCTAGAATGAATTTTAAGTCAAGTTGTCTACTGTGGCACTTTCACCATAGATCTTGTGTTTTAGGCATGATGCTACTTAGTACCATTTGGAGAACACCAGCTACAATATGACAGCGTAGCCATTCATTGGGCAGTTCTCCAACCTGTCTGACCCGATGCTCTGGAGTCAAAGAAAAAAATGCTCAGAGCATGGGGGCATCCAAAGTTCTTCGTGACCTATGTTAATTTGCACTGAGCACTGCATTCAATACTGCTTTGATTTGTTTCCTCTGCAGAACACACACGCACAAAAGCAATAGCACTGTCTTGTTCTTACAGATGATTCCCTGTTGTGAGGAGCAATGCTGCTGTCTAGTTTGAATAATGCTTTCATTTTGAGCCACTGAAACCCCACCTGTTACTTAATATTCCAGTAATCCAGGGGGCAGCACTGTGATGGCTTGGGAGCAGGAACAGGGAGGTGTAAGGAAATGATTAACTTAGCAAACCAATAGGAGACTTCAAGTCCAGGGAGGGCACTAACTCCATTGAAAATAATAATAATAATAATAATAATAATAATAATAATAATAATAATAATGAGACCACTACTAAAGGCAGGAGATGAAAATAAGATAGGCAACACTTACAGTGAAGCCAGGAAATATTTTGAGATGCACCAGGTCTCGAAAGGTTCACTGGGACTGGAGGAAGCCCAATACTTGGGACTTCCACAGCTGTACTCACAGGGATGGACTTCTATCTCTAGCATCTGAGTCCAAACCAGTGTCTGGAAATAAAATGACTGTTTGCTTTCTGTTAGCTTTGGGAAGGAGAGAGCAGACTCAGCTCTCAGAGGATGGCTGCTGCTTAAGGTCCAAATTGGATGTAAGAATGGATACGTGTGGCACTGTAGCATTGTGAGGACAGAAATAGCAACAGACTCTGCTGGAAAAAGAACACAGGAGTTAAAGATAACTTTCTGAATGGTATTCCTTCCAAAAGATACAACATCCTAACACAAGAGGAGAGAAGGTACATATATGATCCTAAATTTCTGGGAGGTCACTGTGAATCTGTCTACAATGGGGAGTGGAGGGCACTGAGGTATGATGCCACGTGTGAACGCCTGTACTATGGAGATGATGAGAAGTATTTCCTGAAGCCTTACAACTTCCACATATACCAATTCCTGGTAAGTACTCAGATGGTCAAATTTGGCAATATTTCCTTTGCTAAAAAGCCAAACTTATTGCAAAGATACTATGCACATTATAGCAGAGGAGACAACTCACTGCATGCTGTCTTTCAAATTACCTTGCTCCAGCTGTTCCCAAGGCAATTGACAACTAGTGATATAAGAGCAGTTTTATGGCACATCAAGGTACTGATGTGCTTTATCATCCAGGCATCCCCACTTTTATTCTACTCTAGACAAAGCCAAGATAATTCTTTTTTCCTCTCTAAATTCTGAGTTTTGCTCAGATTAATGACCTGTAGAGCTTGCAGAAGAAACTTGCCTCTCCAGGGATGAAGCTGACCATACGTAAAATCAGAACAATGCTAGCAATTCAACCCTTGGAAGCATTTAAGCCCTTGGAATAGCTAAAAGAAACATTAGTCTGAATTCTGAGGGTGATAGTCTAGCCACCAGCTCAAAGAGGGGCAATACTCCTCTCCTTATCTGCAAGCCCCATATGCACGCTGTCTTCAGAGACACCAGAGTCTAGGAAGACACTCATAACCCATGGAGATGTCTTTTTTCAGTGTTTGTAATTTATCTGGCTTTTTATAGAGACAGCAAGTGGCACAGCCTGAGCTCAGCAGGGCTGCTGAGTTCCACACGCCAGCAAAGCAGAGCTGTCATGGAAAAGGTCACTTCTCTAAAACATGGGCAGAACAATGTTTATTTTCTAACTTTGCCCTCATAAGTGGCCGGATTACTGCTGTAGAATCTTTTTCCTAAGTAAATTCCTCCTGAAGCAGGCTGGAGTGGAGTGAAAAAAAAAAATAATAATCACTCAAAACAGTCAGAATTTGGTAGAGCTGTAAGGATACGGAAGGAGAGCTTTTATAATGGGAAGTTTCAGGCTGGCTTGATAGACACCATTAGCAGCTTTGCCTGTTATGACATTTCTTCTGGTGGTTAAACACAAGCCATTCCCCTGCATGTGGATTGATAAAGCAAGATGTGTGGCTTTATCTGGCATTTATCTGTGCCATTTCCCACACACTTCCAAATGAAGTGTCATGTGGCTGCATTCTTTATTCTGCTCTCATTGATAAGGCAGCGTTGACACCACCAGGAGCATCACTGGATTCAACAGAGGTATGACCAACTCCTTGAAGAAATAGGGAAAGATTCAAAAGGAAAACACAAGAGAAACTAATGTGTGCTCCTTCCACTTTAGGCTCATGCTGATTCTGGATTCTCTTCTGAGTTTTACGATGATTCAAAAGATCTGATTGATGCCCTCAGAAGCAGTAAATCCAAAGGAGGGGGTTTCACCATCGGGATTGGGCCTAAAAAAATAGATTTCAAACTGAACCTTGGCTTCACCTTATCACGTGGCAAAGGATCCCTGAAGAATTTCACAGAATATACTGCAAAGGTAAAAAAATAAAAATCAGCAATGCATACACGCCAGCCATCTCATCTATGCATTGCATGGTCTGGTTGTAACTTCTGCTTGCTTATTAATTACTTTTTTTTTTAAACACATAGCAACTGTACATCAATTTGTTCACGTAATTGCAAATATATGATCCTTAGCAATCCTGTTTGTTGTTCTTATTACATTTTAGAAAACAGAGAGAAAAAATGAAATTGAATTACCAAGTACCACAACATGTCATCTCACCCCATCCTGTTTCATGGCTACATTAAGCACATATAAAAAAAAAAAATACAAGAGATAACAATGAGGGAGGAAGAAATACCAAGATGTTGATCAAAACAGTAGTCCCCAGGGAATGATCTCCACTAGAAAATATATCTTGTTCTAATTAATATAAGCTGCCTGATAGGCAAATGCACTATTCTTGAACAGAGATTCAAGAATCATGATGAAAATAAGAGCTTCCAATAATAAGCCTTATTTCTCACAAGCTTTTCTCATTTTTGCCTAGCTGTGACATTGTCTTCCCCCATCTAATAACATGAATGCCAGTATCTCCCACATATACTATGCCTTGTCTCCTCTTCTTTCTTGGTTGCTGATAGCAAACTATAAAGAATAATTATTTTGATAGCTTTCCAAGTTGAGAAGCCCTTAACCTGCTTGAATTTGGCACCACTAGAGCATTTACTGAGCACTTGTCTAGGTTCACTTGCAGCTGAACAGTGATCTGTTAGGGGAGGAATCATTTAAGGGGCTGTTTCTGTTGCACTGGCATTGCGTCTGAGGCAATGATTGGTCTAGAAGAGGAGCCATGGATATGTTGTTAGATCCAATATGTTGTTAGGTTAGTAAATACTCCCCTCCCAGACAGGGTATCCTCCTGTAGCCTCATCAAGGTTGTCAAAATACAAAAGGGAATAACAAAAATGGAAATGGCAGAAATAGAGGATGAGGAAGAATCTTGCAGAGCTCAGCACATAAAAAAGAAACCCGCAAACCATCCAAACCATTACGCTGCCCTCCACCTCACACAGCCACACAAGAATGAGACATTGAAAAAAAAAAAATTAAAATTACCACCGATTTTGTTTAAATTTAGACTGCTTTCAAGGCTGCAACACGTACTGACAGTCATACTCAGGTTTTTCTCCGCAAGCTGGAGAACTAGGAATGACCTTCCCTCCCCCAGCCCCTCCATGAATATTGATTGTCTGCTCCTCTCTCCTTGCAGAATGTTGGATTCATTAGAATTGCGACCAACGTGCAGACAGCCCGCTTCAAGATGAGAAGGAGCAACATAATTTTGGATGAAGACACACTCATCTCCCTGCGGGACCTTCCAGATATCTACAATTATGGCATGTATGCCAAATTCATCAATGACTACGGCACCCATTTCATGACATCTGGCACTATGGGAGGCGACCTTGAGTACATCCTCGTTGTTAACAAAGAAGAAATGAGACGAAAAGGTTAGAACGACACAAGTACTTAACTGCTCACAACTTTCTGTTCTAAACCAGGTATTTAACAACCTGTAAGATCATGGAATAGGTCCAGTCCAGCATTTGGTGGCTCCTTGGTGGGTGGATGCTCATTAGCAGCCAGCTTGGAAAAGAGAGCCTATTTCTCATCACAAGATAGACGTACATCCACCAAAAATCCCCAAAATGCAGTGGGGCTGGGGTATGAGTACTCACATGTTCTTCACAAGATACATAGATGCATAGCAGAGGAGAAGCTTTATTGTCACAAAATGTTCTTCCTGATCTCATTTTAGAATAATCTGGGTGAGGTTTTTTGGTAGTTTAATAAGGAATCCGAGTATCTTTTTCTCTCTTTCTCCAGTGTCACTTACTAGTCTTCTCTAAACCTCTTCTATTGCTTAGGGTCTTAGCTCCGGCCACCTTATGGATGCTCAAGGATTGCAAACTCATCCAAAGTAAAGAATGAGAGCCCACTGACACTTTCGCATCCTAAAAATGAGGGCTTCAATTTTCTGCAAAAGGAAATAACCCATTGCACTTGGCAATAGCTCAGCATCTTACTCTGGCTAGTGTCATATCCAAAGACTACCAGAGCTCTGTCAGCTCCAGTTCTCAACAAATTAGAGCATATGAGGCTGGAGAGCTGTACTTCTAAATCTCATTTAATGAAACATCCACTGCAGATACCTAGACTGTAGAAATAGCCATTACCAGAGAGCCAAAGCCTAACGCTCTACCTAATCAAAAATATAAGATGCAGAACAACAGTAACATGGTACCATGGAGTACACTAAACAGATGGCCAACTTTTGCAAAGGTGACAATAGTGCAACAGATCCAGATTTACCTAAATATCACCACTCTCCTCTGCTGAGGGTACCTATGCCCCTATGGGAATTCAGGTCAAAATAAATTTGAATTTGGACATCAGGTGCAAATTGCTGAAATTACATCAGTTTCCATGGCTCTGCTCTCCAGTCTGAAATGTTTTGGTACCACCAGCACTAGGATAACTACATACTGCATAGCTCGCATTAGCCATGCCACCTTTGTGCAAGAAATTACCCATTTAGAGATTTTTTTCTGAATTCCTCAAATGGCAATGTTTGGAAACATGATGCCTCTTCAAATCATTCATTCACTTTGAAGAGTGAGGGACATAGAAGTGAACACAGCCTTGGCAAGCGAGTCATCAGGAAACAGACTGCCAAATTCAGAGGAAGAATTAATCAAGCACATGTGGATGCAGGCTATTATTTTATTTTCTCGTGTTTATTATGTATCTGAGGAGTATATTTATTGCTACAAGATACCCTTTTTTAGGGAAGAAGGATGCTGAAGTTCAGCAAAAGACAAAAATGTGCCCCAGTAGAGATGTAATTTTCATTCTAATGGGGCACGTTTGTGTAATTTCCATCTAACTCAGATTCTGCTAGAAAGGCCACATTTATCAAATCAACAGCACTCTGCATCATATGATGTAGACCCATAAGGACCACCTGCAGTGGCTGATAAGCTACTGTGCAAAGCCATGAGGAAAAAGCAGCCTCTCCATTGGCGATCACTGCCATGCTTGCTTGAAGGCTGTATTTGCAAGAGGATTTATTCAACTCCCCTGAGGGATGGTCAGGATCAGGGTATAAAGCTCTCAAATCTCGAAAACTAGGGCTTCCAAAAATGAGTTTGAAGCAGGACTGAGCAGCACAACTCCTGCTTTAGATCCACCCATACATCCTGAGAATCCAACTAGCCCAGGAAGCTACACATTAAATGCTTTGGAAGAGAAAACAATCCTTTTGTTTTCGTGGACAGGTGACTGAGCCAGTCATGCCCAGTAAATAAAATCCCTAGGCTGAGCTCTGCTTAAACGAGAAATATCTGGTGGTCACTGAGACAACTAAACATACACATGAGCTAGATTTCAAGCACCTGAGAAACCTGAATTTTGATAATGAGGTCACCTTCTGCATTAAGACACACACAAACAAACCACAACCAACTTGTGCAGGGCTCAGGACTGCAGTTTTGCAGTGAGACCCATCACTAGCTTTCAGGCTGCAATGGCTTCCTTCTATGAACATGGCCACAAGTGAACTAAACAAATGCTTATGTCAGAGCAAGGTCCCTTGTTACTCTGCCATCAATATTTTTCATTACTTTTTTAAAAATAGATTGTTATGACTCTATTATTTAGCTGAAAATAATGTAATGTGTTCCCACATTACAAGAACATTTATGGGAGAAACATTATGCGCAGAGTAAATTAGAAAGAGTTTTCATATATTCTGATTAATTCAAAACAAAGCAGTAAATCTTGAGCACACTCAGCTATTGCAAATTACATAACATAAAAAACTATCAGGGCTCCTCCCTCAAGTGCCAATATTTTCTATGACCATCTTTTTGCAATGATAACCACTTTGCATTTATCAAGACCCAATCTTGCTGCAACCAATAGCAAATTGTATTGACAGACCCTCGCTGAACATAATTACTCAATAGGAACCATAGCAAATCAATTAACCAGGGCATTCCTCGAGTTTAATTTTATGGCCCTCCAACACTAAGATGAGCAATCACTCACAGTGCTTTGGGTGAGTGAACTTTACCCACTGCACTTACAACTGTTGAGCACTTTACTGCAAGTAACGGTGCGTTATCCATTTGATCTTCCTCAAGGGCTCCATTTTGCATGGAGATGTAATTCCCTCTGAAGCCTTCAGAGGATTTCACAGGAATGTCACTTCAGGAACAGGACTTGAAGTCCCTTTCCTAGGGCACTGAGCACATACGTGAAGACACCGAGCGTCTCCACACCCTGCACAACTCCCCACCTCCCCATTAAGACATATGGGACAGAAAAACAGCAGTTTTTACTCATGTTTTAAAGGCAAGCAAGAGAGTGTGCTGCTCCCTAGCACAAGGCAAACTCAGTGCTCTGGGTCAGGCTCAACTAACTGGAGCCTCAACCATTAAACCACTAAAACACAGTGCAAAAATCCTGCCAAGAAGAGCAGGGTGTCTGACAAAAGGAGCATCGTGAAAGTCACCTATTTCTTACAATACCCATATTAATAGAAACAGAAAGATTTCCTAACTAATCCAAAAGACATTTTTCCATTTGCAGCAGACTGAAGCATGCACATAAAACTACACCATATGAAATATGCACATTGCTTACCTTAGTGAAACCACCTCATTAGTCTGCTTCTCCCCTCTGCAGTCACTTCATGGGTCTCCAGTTACATATTTGTGTGATGTATGTGGCAGCACTAAAACAGCAGCACGCAATAAGGCTTTTGTAGCTTTCAGCAGACAAAACTGTAGCGAGTGACTGCTGAAGGTGCTGCTTATACATTGGTCAGATCCTTAGTTTGGGAAAATTAGCAACAACATGTTGATTTCAGCTGCTGTTCCCAGCTTTACTCTATTTGTAAGTTAGTCTTTGGGGAGGGGGGAGCGGAGGAAAAAAAAGAACCAACACCCCCCCCCCCCACCCCCCCCCC